TCCCGTTCCAGCTCGTCATCGTCGTCATCTGGGTCAGGATAGTCCGACCTCGGGCCGCTGCTAGTTCCTGCCGCTTCAGAGTCAGACACTCCTTCCACTGGTGTTTTTGGACGGTCTGGGGAAACCTGGTCAATGCCAGAGGCAGGAGCCGATGTGATTTCTCGCAGCTTAGTGTTGCGCTCGTAGGAACGTTTGATGCGTTGGGAGAGCCGGGAACCTTGTTTATCATGGTCGTCTCCATCATCATCTCCAGACTCGTCTTCGTCGGTGCCACTTTCGGTTTCTTCATTGCGTTTACGCTTCTTGCCTCCTGTGGATGGTTCATCTAATAAGGACTCGTTGTCGCTTTCACTCTCGTCATCGCTACCCAGGAAGTCCTTCAATTCATCGTGTACGGCAGCTTGCTCGTCGGCATCATACCCAACTGGCGATGTCTCGTCCAGACCGGATGACTTGAAGATGTCTTCGGCGTCATCTTCTTGTGTCCATTGGGACCCTGTCATATCCTCGTCCGTGGAGGAAAGCATGGAGGCCTCAAGTTCAAGTTGACTCGGGGTCAAGGGGTCGCCTCGATCGTCTGGGTGAAGTGGGAGGAGATAAGGCTCTTCGTCCACATGCCTCCACTGAACCAACGCGTCGACAAGCCATTGTGTCGTCACGATCTTGATGTTGGGATAGCGAGTAGCTTCTCTCACCTTGGCAGTACGATTGCGCCCAGCCACGAGATGAGTTGTGCGAGCATTTACTCTTGACGAGATCGTCACACCAAAGCTCTTCGCCCACAGGGAGATGTCTGCATTTTGGAAGTCTATGCCCAGAGGAAGCACACCTGAAAATACCAACACTACCCCTCCAAGGATACGCCGTTTGATCTGCGGCATGATATCCTTGACATCGGGAACCAATTTGAGATCCACGTCTTTGTCTCTCGAGTGAACTTTCTCGCCCCTTAAAGCTGCCACCCGACCCCCAAGAGCGAGAGTCCGCCTCTTGTCATATTCATCATAGAATTGGAGATGCACTTGTTCGAGGCGGTTTTGCAGCTGGTAGAGTTCTTGATCGTGATCCTCAAGCAGGTGATGTCGATGTTTCACAGGTTCATGGGTCTCTTCGGCGCTAGACGATGCATCACTGGTTTCAACAATATTATCTTCTGCATCCAATTCCTTTTGCTTCTGCAACAAAGGTCGATCCTCCACCTGGTGCAATATTGTCTCTTCTTGTGCATCAGTCTGTTCCTGGAGGAGTCTTGGGCTGTCCCCACCTCCCATGGTCACCAGCTGTTCTAATGCTGAGATCTCGGTCCCCTCTTGCGTTTTACCGTTGACATGGTGTTCTTTAGTCTTTTCCGGGGCCTTTGCTTCGATCTGAGGCTTGTTCGCTCCAATATCTTCCTTCTTTGGAAGGAAACTTGAATTGATGTCACCAATTCCGACGAAGAAGTCATAAGGCGAGACCTTAATAAGATTGGGGCTCCACCGCCAGATATCACCACGATCATCAATGATCACCACCATCTTTGTGTCCACTGGGAACAGCCGCTGCAGGTCCTTGACCGTCAAACTTCCGCTTTCGTCACGACTAAGAATTCGATCCCCGAAGAGCTTGCGGGTGGGATCGATGATATCAACAATATGTTGGGCATAAGCACGAGTACCCATAGTGTAGATGTGCAACTCATAAATCTCGGCCACATTTTGCAAAAATTCCTCCAGTCCTGGCCGCAGCTTGATGTAGTACCAGCAGCCACGCATTCCAGGCCCATCGTCAATCAATTGAAATTGTCGCACATCCTTCACAGCTTCGTGGTTCGGGTTTTGTTTGTCTTCTCTCCATTCCCCCACTGTCGGATCAACAGTGGCATGGATGATGGTCTGATCAAGATCCACCACAAGGGTCAAACGCCTCGATGCAAGTAGCCGGCGCTTCGCATCTTCTTCAACTCGGGTTGCTTCCCGTTCGCTGACCGTAAGCGTGACGTTGTCATGAGCCATGGAGATTGGAGCGCGCATAGAATCTGTGATTTCGGTGTTGTACGTAGATCTGTTCACGCGACAGACAGTTAGAAAAGCCCATTTCCCGTTAAGAGACTTATACTTACTCAGTCATGTCCTTCCCGCACTCGGCGCAAAGTCCTCCTAACTGGATCTCGTGCGCGCAAGGCTCGTCAACTTCGACAACATTGACCCTATCAACAAATTAGACAATATTCGACAGTAAAAAGACCAGGATCAATATTCTCACGGTTCATCAATAACATCGCCCTTTTGGACTTGCCATTTAACGATCTCTCCATCAACAGTCGATTCAAATCTAGTCGGGTATCTACGCTTCACCTCGATGGTATTCCCGAGTCCATCACCCTCAGTGACGGTAGTCTGATAGGTATACCAAAACAAAGCCTCATCCCTCTCAACCGTGTCGCCAGGCTGTTTGAGCAGCGACGTCACGGTGATCGGGTAATGTAGGCTGGTGGGCAGACGGAGAAGCATTGTTGCTCTTCGTTCGCCCCCAGGCGATGCGATGCAATGTGCTAATGCTCAGTTCCTGACCTCTCGTTCTCCCGAAGTATATCGTGTGCCCTTGGTTTGTTGACAGTGCGCGTCGAGGACGTGTGGGTCAAATGGATTGATCGCGTGCGATTCCGGCTACGAAGCCATCACCGACACGCAACGCGTGTAGAGCTGGATGATATCGGATTCCGATGGTAGGATGTCAGCCTATGACTCGGTGGTCTAAGCTAGATCGGCGGAATAGGTAGGTGGGAATGGTGGTTTAGGCAGCGCAATGATAATCGCCACTCCAAGGCGCGGGTGGGAAAAGAAAATCGTGCGCCTAGCACAACCTGGCGCGGAGGTCAGAGGAAAGTCACACACCAGGCGGAGTAAGTAGCTTGAATTTGAGGAGGTTGGAGAGGGTGGAAAGAGGAATGCGGGCTGCGATCAAAGAAAAGGGAAGCTCATTGAAGTTGTGCGGGGACCGGCTCGATCCAGGTTGGGAGCCCTGGAGCTACTTGCGCTTATGTCATACCGGTACTTGAAAACCGGTATCGTCTCTCACTAATTGACATGCGATCTACTTTAGTTCAAGTACCTTTATTTTTCTGAATGGTCTGATATGATGGTTTGATCAAGCAGTGCTCAGTGTATTTTTATCTTTACTCTGGGGTAATAGTGACGTCCCACTTAATTTCTCTGACTGTATGTATTAGAAATTTGACTGTAGCTTATTGCTTACCTACACCTTGACCAGCATAAGCTCCAGCCAATTGCCACTCAGGTTCTTACGTCTAGTAATTTGCCGAGGAATCTAGCTCGACATACAGAATACTGAGACCACTGCCGAGGAAGACTTATTCAATAACAAAACCAAATGTAATAAGTAGATCTTAACCAATAAAAATATCCATTTGCAGTACCAATGAACGAAAGGCCTCACGATGGGGCTATGCCAGCAAAAAAACAAAAACCTTTAGCAATAGGCGAATGAAGTGCGCTATGAAACCATACGTTCAACCCAGAAGCCACATGTATATACGAAGCAATCTCTTGGTGTCACCTGGTTCTTTGATATTCACAGCTCACCGAGCCATCGAGCATTAGGACATTTATTTGGCCTTGGCCAGACCGACGGCGTTGTTACCGACATCATAGACACTGTACCAGCGGCGCAGGAAGGCATCACCCAAAATAGCCAGAGGACCCACAGGCTCGGGGAAGTCCATGCCCATGAAGCTGCTGATGCAGGAGCCCTGGACCTCCAGGATGTAATCGAAGGGGCCAATAGTGAACTTGTGGCCGCCCAGGGTGAAGGTGAGGTCGGGCAACGAGTCCCGCTTGTCACACTCGACACTGTACTGACCAGTGAAGCCCTTGGTGGCACCGATCTCCTTGTTCCTGTAAAATGAGTCAGCAAAGAAGTTACAGAAATGAGCGACAAATCAACTTACAAAAGCTCGGCCATGGTGGAGGGCAGGGCAATGAGGGAGGTACCAGTGTCCAGAATGACACCAGTGTTGTCAAGTTCAGCAACGTTGTTGCCGAGGGCAATGGAGTTGAGCTCAACCTCCCAGTACGCCTTGCGACGGAGAGGGATCTTGATCAGCTCGCCAGTGTAGTGGCTCTCGTCGATACCACCAAAAGTGGCCACGGAGTCATCGCCATCCTTGTTGGTATCACCAAGGTAGAAAGCAAACACAGGCTCATCCACGAGCTTCTGGTTGATCATGTGATAGAAAGGAGGGACCATCTTGTTCACGGAGATGGTATCATAGCCGAGGCCGAGAATACCATCAAAGCGACCGAAGGCAAAAGCGAGACCAGGCTCGTTGGTAGCTTCCGCGAAGTCCTGTCCCTCAACCTTCAGATCACCGATCTGGAGGGTGTCCCTAGACACGAAGCCGCTCAGGCTGCCAGATCCGTAGCGAATCTCGAACTCGGTGCCATTCTTCTGGTAGGTGCTCGAAGAAGACGAGTCATACTTGCTGTGAAGGAAGCAGGCAATCGAGCTGCACTGCGAAGAAGGGACCCACAGGTTGGAGCTACCAGTGTCAAGGACAACCTTGAAGGTCTGGGGAGGGGTACCGATCGTGATCTCGGAGAAGTCTGGAAAGGTCAGCGTCATTGCTCAGAAACTAACTTTTCTGGGTTGGTAACTTACACTGAGCATTCAGGAAGTTATCAACAAGCACGCCATGGCCACTAGCAGGGTTTAGGGAAGTGTCGTGGAAGAGGTCCTGGTGCTTCTCAGGACGAATGCCCATGTACTTCTGGCCCAGGTTGTGCACATGAGCATCGATGTTGTGCGTGTTCTATCAATCGATTAGTTTCCAGGGTATCCTTAGGGTAATAGCGATGATCATACCAGTTGCTCGGACAGAGGGACCTTGTTGAGCTTGAGTCTGTGCACCTCAGCGGCAGCACTGCCCAACAATGCCGAAGCTGTTAGGAGAGTGAATGACTTCATCATTCAAGATGAGGAAAGAAAGTTGAAGATGGTTGATGCAAAGAAGGGAACGACTTGTGAGAAGGAACCTAGGGAGAAGAGAGGAGATAAGGGCAGATGGTAGATGGGGGAGTGGAGGCTGGAGAGACGATGACGGAAGCGGGAGGGTCACACTAATCCCCTTTGGGCGATGGACTCATGACATGGATTCTCAGGCTACCGGGGGATTCCAGTTCCTGACGTATACAAAGACTCCTTTCTTGTTTCTCGGACCATTTACTCACTGAATTACTATGAATCCTCCATACTATACGGAGTACCCCTTACAACATCGGACCTAAGCAGGGGAAGCACTTTGGGCTGGTGCCTGGGCGTGATTAGCGCCATGATCGGACTGGTCGGAAGACCCCCCTCCCGTACCTGACGGCTGCAGGATAGTTGATGTGGCAAAACGCTACGCTCAGATGTTATTGTTCTACAGCAAGGTATCGTGCCCTGCTGTGATACGCCATAAAGTTCTGGATGTGTACGGAGTATCATTGTAGAGCTTTAAAGCATGTGTTTCTGTAGTCCATCTAGCCCGTAGATCAGAACTATCCAAAAAATACTCCGCTTGGTGTTTTTCAAGGGAGCGCGTGCCCTTCTAGTGTGCAATGGCTGCCTTATTGCGAACTTTGATAAGTGAATACCACGCTGCATACATCATAGTTTCTAGTTATAGACTGTTTGATACATCATGTGGGCATTTGAGACCTTCAGTAGTACTGTCCTGAGGTCTAGGTACATAATCACTTACAAGGTGCCCACCTGGGCACCTGGGCAGGCCCCTAAGCTGGTGCTGACTAACTTTATATACCCTGGGCGCGGAGGCGAACTAGGATACCAAGCGACGTGTTCTAGCTGATATAAAGTACCTCTTCAGAGCACGATTGAACATGATGGAGTAATACATTTCTACCTGCTCTATCTCTCTGAGTCATTTTATGGGACGAATTCGACAGACCAAACTAGAAGACCCTAGAACAAATGAAATGGATGTGGAATAATTGATTTATTTCCTCTCTGGCATACTAAACACCATCTCCTTTCCGATCCACCGGCGATGTAAGGTGTAGTCAATTGTCGTCAAAGAATTTCAAGAAATGTCAAGGCAGACAAAGCCAATGCTTCGATTCCGGTCTGTAGGGTAGGCTGAATTGCCGGCGCATAGATAGAACTGTGGGTTGGAGGCAAATTCCGCAGCTTGCCTTCTCTATCTGCCTTCTCCCAAGTCTGTGGGTCTGTCACGCCAATGTTCCAGTACACATATGGTATTGGGTTTCCACCGGACGGAAGTGAGAGAAGCACAAAATCATCCGCGACAATATCTGGTGGCATCACCTGAATAACCTTGGAGGATTCGTTTCCATAATAGGATTCTAGCACCCGTGCGAATCGGCTTGTTGCCACAGCATCGTTATCAATAGCAGGGCTGCTAGCTGTAGTCACAATACGGGGAGCTATCGGGGATCCAGAAACTTCGCACTCATTTCGTATAACGCGCTCCACTGCAGACTTTGCAAGTTTCTGGGTGCTTTCCGAGAATGTGCGCACATCGACCTGGAAGTCGGCGTACTCTGGAATGATGCTGGCATCAGTACCGGCATGAAACGTCCCGCATCCTATCACGACAGGCTCCTTGGGATCCATTTCACGGCCGACAATAGTCTGCAGACGTGTGAGAATACTCGCAGCCAGCATGATTGGATCGATTCCCAACTGGGGCGTAGCGCCATGCGCACCGCGGCCATATACACGGACATCCAGCGAGTCCAGATAGCCCAGAACGCGGCCAGGTTTCAACGCAATGGTTCCGCTTTTGGTCGGGACACAGTGCTGTGCTAAGCAGACGCTAGGTAGGGGTATTTTGCTGAACAGCTCATCATCAACCATTGCTTTGGCGCCTAGCAGCCGCTCCTCGTTGGGTTGGAATAAAACAATCACAGTGCCGGACCAGAAGTTCCTAGCCTCATGCAGCAGCGCTGCCACCCCGAGCAAGCAGGTCATATGCATATCGTGGGCGCAGGCGTGCATGACACCTTTTTTTAATGCCATCAGCATCGACTTGCTCGACTTTGCTAGCGTAGGGCAGGCCTGTTGTTTCCTTGATAGGCAGTGCATCAAGCTCAGAGCGCAGGAGGACATTTTGCCCCGAGCCATTACGGAGAATGCCAACCACCCCATGGCCTCCAATTCCGCGCTCAACTTCGAAGCCGAGAGTTTCTAGCCGGTCTGCTACGACCGTTGCAGTCCGCTGCTCCTGGCATGGAAGCTCCGGGTTCTCATGGAGGTCCTTGTAGATTGCTGTGTGCCTTTCAACATCGGGAAAGAAGTCCTTGACGATCCTGCGACGTCCGCCGGATGCAGGTTTGACTTGCATCATCAAAAATGAAAAGGGAGAAGCGGAGTGAAAAGCAATCAATGTCTCTGAATGGGAGAATGGGAGGGTTGAGGGTTGTTCACAAGATAATCGCGTTCTTCGTACTCAACGTTTAGTTTCTTTTGCCACGTCCAATTTTCCCTCCTCTCCTCGAGGGGGGGACTCCATCTATATGTTGTAAAACCTAGTACCGTTTTGTACTTCTCTTTGTCTGAAATATTGCGTAACTCAGCCCCAGGGACCAGTTTATCATCTGCAGATATCCCAGTCGAAATAAGCCCCCCGCACTTGGTCAAAGAATATATTTGAGTGCTGTGATAATCTTAATGAATCCAGCTGTAGCGGGCATGCAGCCCGTCGCCCTGGCAGTGCTCTTGGTCAAGACATTTTCAGCTTTAGAGGGCAGCGCGAAGTTGGATTCAGCAAGTGCTACAATTGCCAGGTACCCCAAAGAGCCGAGACTGTGGCTATTTGAACACCAGCTCGGGTTTGTAGGCCATAATAATGTCGCAACGGTTGCTTAGTATCCTGACTAGTAGTCCGACTATCAGCACCCGCCGGGTAAAGCTTTGTAGTATCAAACGACCACAAAAGAAAGGTCTGCGATGAAGCAGATGCATAGATTTAGTTTCAAGGTCGTACTAGGGCTCATGCGTTGCTGGAGACATCACAACGGGGTTGGAAAATAGGGTAAAGCCACTCCAACGAAGACATCCTTTGAGCCTTCTGTCAGGAGGTTGGCTCCCCTTTGAAAATCCCAACGTGTTCTTTCGCATGACTTCGTCTCATATTGGACTAGTAATTGGACTAGTATAAAAGAGTATATCCAAGACCAAGTAAATAAAAGTGCAAAAAGAAGTAGTTGCGCGCGGGATGAACCAGGAACCAAAAACTGTGATATCACCACAGACTAGTTGTAGCATGGAAATTAATCTGCACTCGGGAACTGGGTGACACGATCGAGGAGCGACATGCATGCGTATATCGGTGTGTAGTATTTGAATGTACATATACATCAGTCGGGGTACATGACCGTTACCCATTTGCCATATTTCCATGCTCGACCGACCTCCACGTCCAAGTATCAGCTACAATATAGAATCAGCAATGGTGAGAAAGGCTCGTCTTACAGGTAGGTGCATTGTGAGTTTCCTTTACTCGGGTCACTATGATCTACAGTTATAGCAAATGGACCGATTAGTGGTGCTGGTATTACGTGAGTGGTCTATGTCTCTAGTCTTGGGGTTAGTTCCCGGTATAGCTTTCTTTTCTATTTTATATGGCTGGGTATTTTAGTCTCGTTGGGACAATTACTGTAAAACTTTAGGATTTAATATTTTTTGGATGCTTTTTGTATATTCTCGTGGCTGTAGAGGATATATATCATGCCTCCCCCAAGTCATTCGCAGCCCAAACGATACTATATATATTATTGGACCTATATCGGTGATTCCGCAAAAAAATGATAGGAAAACATACATGAATTAAATGTATCTAATAGACGTCAATCCGACACGCATGTTCAACAGATTGGCCCCTGGACAGGGTGCTATTAGCTAATCTACAGTCTACATCTACAACCTAAAAGGTCGAACGGACATCATAGGATCAAGAGACCATTCAAACATTGTGACACATGGCGCCTGCATATTATTGATAATACAACTGGTGAGGGATACCAAGCTTTCGTCACCCATACCCACGTTTCCAAGAGACTCAAGCATTTACCGGTAGAAGTCAGGGCTGGGAGGAACAAGTCAGTGATATAGAAACACCCAAAAAGCAAACAAGAAACGTACCGGTCATCATCCTGTCCAGTCTTGACCTGGACAGCATAAGCATCTTCAAGGTCCGATTGGATAATATTGTAACGGTTCTTGCGGACAGCCCGCAGACCGGCCTCCTGCATAATAGCAGCAATGACAGCACCGGACAACGGGTCGTTGCGCACGATCAGGGCGTCGAGGTCGACCTCGGGGGACAGTGACATCCTTGCCGCAATAGTTGTGAAAATCAATCGGCGCTCACGTCGGTCACGCAGGTTGGGGAACTCGATCTTTCGGTCCAGACGACCAGGACGCAACAAAGCCGGGTCCAGGGTGTCGGCTCGGTTGGTGGCCATGATGACCTTGACGTTGCTGGTTTGTTCGAAACCGTCCATCTGGTTCAGCAACTCCAGCAGGATACGCTGAACTTCACGATCGGCACCAGTCTGGGCATCGAAACGCTTCGTGGCGATCGCATCGATTTCGTCAATGAAGATAATGGCTGGGGAGTTCTCACGAGCCATCCGGAACACGTCACGGACCATACGAGGTCCCTCTCCCAGATACTTCTGTACGAACTCTGATCCGTTGACACGGATGAAGCTAGCGGTTGTGCTGTTGGCCACGGCTTTCACCAGCATGGTCTTTCCGGTTCCGGGGGGACCATAAAGCAAGACACCACGGGGAGGGTCAATACCTGCAAATTGTTAGCGGTGCCACAAGCCGCAATCGATCTCCGTCACAACTCACCGATTTGTTTGTAGAGTTCGAAATGCGTCAAAGGCAGCTCGACGGCCTCCCGAATCTCCTGTTTCTGCATATCCAAGCCACCAACATCTGCATACGTCACATCGGGCTTCTCGTTCTCGCCGAGCATCGCGATAGAGGAGTCAGCCTCGGGAGGAAGAATATCGACAAGGGCATTGGAGTGGCGGTGAAGGGCGACCGAGGATGAGGGCTTCAGCTTCTCGCGGTCGAGAGTGGAGAGGATACGGACGACGTAATTAGAGCCGGTCGAGCTTTGCACAATACCGGTGCTAGAGAGACGAGTTAGCAAAATGACCATCTCCCCTAGGGGCCGAGACACGAAAAGGCATACTTTTGATCGATTGCCTCCATAAACTGTCCGATGACCAATGGCACACTCTGTATGCGCTTGATCTCTTCTTGTGCCCGAACCAGTTCTCTCTTCAAGCTCCTGCATCCAACGATAGTAGTTAGTCACTGATACAAATCTTCAATGGCAGAATCCGATATGCATACCTCTGCTCATCCTTGATGTATTCCTCCTGGAGTTGGATATACCTGTGTTCAACGTCAGTACAGATCACTCCATCCAACCAACACGGTCAGACATACTCTAGATGTCTTTGTAGCCTCTTAAGGGTAGCATATTCATCGTTTCCATCAACCCCTGTGCCATCGAGGGAATCCAAGTTGGCGAGGGCGTCAAGCGCACCTGGCTTGGTAAGAGGCGTGACGTTGTTCGCCGGGTTCTCCACGGCAACGTCCCCCATGGTGGATACTTTGGACAGTGAGCAAGATGAGAAAGGGTAGGATATCTATCAGCTGGAAATGGAAGGAAAATGTGATGTTCTTTGAAGATGGTTGGTGAATGACGCGCTGTGTGAAGGGCTCGGAGTTCAGCCATCTGGAGCTTTCGATGCTATGGGCCCGGAAGCTTATCCATCACGTGATGTCAGCTGGTCTTGCCAACAGGTCAGTTATAGATTCATTTCCAATGTGTTTACTCCGTTGTGCCATGGAAGCTTATATTATAAGTCCCACGGCAGATTATTTTCTACATTATGGTGTACATGTGGTTTTTCTTTTGTCATTCCAAGGTTAGAAGATTGTGGCAATTGGCGATACGGTAAGACTACCAGATCAAGTGCCCGTCAACTTGTAACATTTGAATGTAATAATCTCACTTTAAAATGTGAGATAAATTACACGGAACCTTAGAAAGTCTTGATAGTTCTGGTCATTTTCTCTCTATCTTGCCCAGGTGCAGGGCACCGAATATACACTAATCTTGTCTTGGTGAGTGTCTCAATCCAAACCTATGGTCAGACGCTAGCGGCTGTCGCGGAATATGTAGTCCTGGAGCCAATGACGAGGATCTGAAGCCTATTTTCCTGGGGTGTCTGTTTCATCTAGTGACATGTGCTCCGTAGATGTACGGAGCATGTTGCCAATTGGAACACCTGATCAAGTTCAAGTCAGGAGAATATCATATTGGACCGCCATGCGCAAAGGCCTTTGAGACAGTTACGAGCATCCTTGCCATTGGAGTTAGCCATGACCTCAAGCTTGCCCCTAAAGCCCTACAGAAGGGAAACGAAGAAAAGCTGATCCAATCATCTGTAGCGGTGGAGTAGGTCGGGACACGGTAGGTGGGACAGGCACCATAGCCGTCATGATTTCCCACGCGGATCGAGTCGGATCCTTGCACGGGGGTCACTAGGAAACCCAGGTCAATCCACTTCTTAGTTGGTGACCTTGAATTTTTGGTGACTTCGGAGGATTGGGCGCGCATCGACATGGCTATCAGACGCTAGCCAGAGCTTTATATAAGGAGAACCGCCCGTTGGTCACCGTCACGGCTCTAGATCTTTTTTTTCTCCCTCTTTCCATTATTTCTTCTCCCCTTCCCCCCAGATCTTAGTCTTAAAAGACTCTATTTTTTCATGGCAATTTTCCCCTTTGATATTTATCACGGGGCGGCTGCTAACCTCAGACCATATCGGGGTTGGAGTATATGATCTAACCTGACTCGGTCAGACCGTTGGAATGGATCATCATTAGGTGATTTATGAAATCTAAGGGGAAGATCGAATTTTTATGGGAATTTTCTCTTAGAAAGAGATTTCCTTCATATCCTCTCCGTTCGCTCACCTTTCCTATTATTCTCCCTTATGTGTGGCTAGTCTCTTTCATATGCAGGTTGATGGCAACACCCGCTCTGCACGAGATAACAAAACTAATGGAAAATCCAGACTAACATAAAGGGAAAAAAAAAACAATACAAAAAAAAAAGAAAGACAAAACGAAAAAGATGAAGAAAACTGAACAGAAAAGAACAGACTAAAAGAAAAAAAAAAGACTAACAGAGTAGTAACACAAGTAACCAGAACAGGTGTTGGAGGGGGGAGGTTTAACCTGCGAAAGCTCTGACCTGTCAGTAATTTTCCCTCATTCTCCTCTCTCCACTTCCCCTTCCATCCCTAACTGAACGGATCTTGTGTGAATCGGTAAGTACGCCATTCTATTTCTTATGATTTGCTCTTGCTTTTTTTTTTTTGGTTCTACTATTATTTTATATGTGTATTGATATTATTTGGTTGTGGCCACGCACCTTCCTTTTTTTTTTGTCCCTTGTTCTGTAACCATCATTTGTCCGTGGTTTACAGGAGGCTTCCATTATTCCATTATTATATCTTGGCTCCTTTAAGGATCAAGAGTGACGTTCCCTTGGGCTATGATTTGCTAACATTTTAGTCTACCCCAGCCTCTTACCCCTTCCCCCCCCTCCACCCCAAATCCATCCTAACACGCCTTTGCCTTTGCCTCCCGTCCTTCTCCGTGGTTTGTTGCCTTAGGTTTCCATACCACGTGACCACACCTGGCCAAACCTCTGTCCCCTTCATATCCCCCATCTGCCAATTCCGGGACCCGGCTTCAGTCATCCGTATAAAAAGCGGAATTTAAGTCACTCCAGCCTTATCGGTATGTACCTCATTCCCTCCCCTCCTTCCCCCCAATATTATCTCCAATATTCCTATCCTCATGGTTGTCACCTTCCCTCCCCACCTTCTCTGTGACCCGTGTCGCGACCGGGTCTGGGCGCGACTCCAAACATCCCATCCCCCGACGCGTCCACATGATCGTCTATCATTGGACTAAATCCTATACTTCCTTCATTCCTATATGACATCTTTGCACATGATAGCAATGGCGCATGGGTCGATGTTCATATACTGACTCGTCCTAGGTAGATGGGTTGGCAAAACCGCTCGACATGAATGCCTGGCTTGCCGACGCCTCGAATATTCCTGGCCAGGATAACGGCGCCTTTCATCAATCCACTATAGACCCCTCTACTGCTTTCCTTCATGGTTCCCCGACCCCCCAGGATCCATCCCAATTCCAGCGCATGTTCAATAATGGCGTGCCGCGGAACGCTTCCCCAGGATTCCACAACCCAAACCAAGTGATTCCATCCAAGCGAGCGCGGCCAGAAGATGGCATGCCCATGTCGCCAAGGCCAGCACCAGGTGGTGTGACGGGTTCGCGATCCCAGACCCCTCACCAGCCATTTCCAGGTTATCAAGGAGCGACCAATGGCAATCCGCAATTCCCCCAACACCCAACGCCGTACCAGCATCTTCAGCAAGGAGCGTCTCCGAACGTAACGCAGTCGCCCAGTATGCAGGACTTTGAGCAACAAAGCGTTCGTATGGGAACGGCTTCTCCGAGCCCCTTCTCCCCCGCTGGTCCGCACCCTGGACCACATATGTCTCCATCGCAGTCGGATCACGGCAGCCGCGTGAATACGCCCCAGAATGCCAACTTTATGCAGGCGCAGCAGTTTGGTGGAATGACCTCGGGAGCCCCTCAACCCTCGATGCAGGCGCCGCAGTTCAATGGCATGCAGCAAGTACCCCAGGGCTATCATCAAGCTTTAGCGAATCAGCAACAGCGGCTGCATGCCATGCAGCAGCAGCAACAGACACGGATGAATCCTAACCCTGCAATGGCTGCACGGCCAGTTCCAGGAGGCATGAACCCGATGGCCAATCCTCAGCAGCCCATGGGAGGAATGAGACAAATGCCACCGAACATGCAGTCGAATATGCCGAAACCTAGTAACCCGGAAGGATTTTTGCGCTCATTGCAAAAATTCATGGCGAGCCAGAATCTGCCCATGGATCCAAATCCTATAGTCAGTGGTCGTCCGATCAACCTCGTTCAGCTCTACGCCACGGTGATGAAGATGGGAGGATCAAAAAAGGTTACAGCAACAAATATGTGGCCAGCAGTTGCACACCAGCTGCACTTCCCCCAGATGCAATACCCTATGGCCGCCCAGGAGATTCAAGCCCACCACTCAAGGAACTTGGCTCCTTACGAACAAGCTTTCATTAGCTCACAACAAAAGCAAATGGCGGACCACATGCAGCAACAGCAACAACAACAGCAGGCGCAGCAGCAGCATCAACAGCAACAGCAAGGCGGGATACCGCGGCCGCCTAGTCAATTCCAATCTCCTTCGGTGAAGCCTAATCCAGGCTTTGAGCAACCTCAGACGATGGCACAATCCCCCCAGAATAATACGCCAGTTCATAATAATGCCCCGGGGAACCCAGTGAATGGGTTTGCCACGCCAACGCACGCGCGAAGCCAAAGTAGGCCAGCCCAGGCCGGACATCGGCAAAGCATCTCGAGGGGGTCGCAGCCACCGGTCCCACCCACTGAAGCTGCTGCCGGACAATTCGCAGCTCCCTCCCCGCAATCTGTCAAGGGTGTTACGCCTGTTCCGGGCCAACCGCAGCCGGTACAACAAGAGCAAAAGCCAGAGCAGCTAGTAAAACGACATATTGAGGAAACATTCAAACCCATCGTTCTGACGGGAAGTCGTTTCCACGGGCCTGTTGTCGTTGATGAGATGTGCCAGATTGGCGAGGATATCTCAAGACTCAAGCCAGACGTACCAGCCTTTGCAGAACTAGGAGTTGTTGATATTCACGCGTTGACAATGGCGCTCAAATCTGGGATCTACGCTGAGATTCGGGTTGCCTTGGACACCCTGACAACACTTTCTGGTGAACCATCTGTTCAGATATCATTGGAGAATTGTGATGACTTGGTAGAGAGCCTGATCGACTGTGCTGAAGATCAAGCCGACCTTCTAGCAGAACACACCTCGGAAGATTCGGATACTATGATTCTACGTTCCTATGATGAAGTCACACGGGACTGCCAGTCTGAAAACACATCGCTGGCAGACGTTCCCGAATTTGGAAGTATTGAGTACGAACTAGACCGGGCCGTCGATCGACTTATCTGTATCACCACTATCCTGCGCAATTTCTCGTTCAGCGAGACGAATTTCTTACCTCTTGGTATCCCTCCCGTTGCCCAGCTGTTTTCCGCTGTCTTCCGTTACATGGGAACTCGCAAGATGTTCCTGCGGACAAGCCATAACACGTTAGACTTTATGAAGGATGCAGTGATCTTGCTGAGTAACTTGGCGCATGTTGTTCAAATTCCCGGCAAGGACGAGGCACTGAATATGTTGATCTTCCTGTTGGCGTTCTCGCCCGAGCCTGAACCCACATCACCCTCCGGAAAAGTGATGTTCACTACATTCAACTCCTCGGTCGATAGATACACCCCAGCTGCTGTTGACGGACTTGCCAAAATGTTGGCTAGAGATGACCCGAACCGAACTTACTTCAAAGCCATCTTCTCTGGCGATGGATCTGCACCTGCCCAGCCGGAGTTGTTAACCCGCGCGTTTGGCCTTGCCATCTCCTGCGTCCCCGACAAAAAGCCAATGGCCGTCGTGGATGCACGCAAAGTGTTTTTAATGCAAGGTCTTCTGTCAGCCGATGTCCTTACCACATTCGCCGATGCGTCTCTTGCCAAAGCATGGCTTGAGTCAGTCGACGGGTTCGCCGTCCATCTCCTGCGACTTTCCTGCGCACTGTGCACAGAACGCATTCCACAAATCAACATGCGACAAAGAAGCCAGGCCGAAGCCGACGCGTATGCCTTTAGCTCCATTGTCAATCGAGGACTGGGGATTCTACGCCGACTCGCGGAAAAATCAAAGCAAGTTGACAACACCTCCCCTCTCAACATCCCATCCGGAATCCTTCCCAGAAAAGAAAGCCTGCTAGGTGCATTGCTCCTCCCCAACATCGACGGCGGTGTTGTTCGCCAGCTCCTCACATATGCCCGGTTGGCGGAGTAAATGATGTCTGCATGAACCTCCAATGCGCTGGTGACAGGTTGGTTTCGTACCAGTCCCGCCTGGGAGGAATCGGATCCTCCCCCATTTAGCATATACGACAATCTTGATTTTCTCTCATGTCATTTGTACTCATGTCGACTGTCAGTCTTTCTATTCTTAACTTTTGGGCGCTGGTGGGTGATGGGGATTTTATTTTTGTTCTTGTGAGATAGCGTTCTGTTCTGCTTCGGTGTACAATGCTCAAAATACCCTCGACGCAAATCGAGAGATACCTGCATCATGCCCAGTTGACCATTGCTTCCATAAATTCGTAAATATCAAATTAACAGCTTACCACAGATCCGTAGTCGAACTTGGCTACGTCGAAGCATCTAGCAGAAGCAGAGGAGGCAACACAAAGTTCTCATTCCTCTTGCTCGCCGGAGTAGTTTAGAATCCAAGGTCTTCGAACATGTCTGCCTGTGGCCTACATTGGTATGCTTTCCAATCCCAGAGGAGCATACATACTGCACACTGTTACAAATTTCTGAATGGTTTCCTGAATGGAAATGCACGTGGTCATTCAATATAAAAGCACTAGCACCCATCGAGTCATCGAAAATGTACAGATTGGAAGTGTTACAGGTAGAGGGAAAAGCAAGGGAACACGAAAAAAAAAGCAGGTGGACGCCAGAAGACACGACCGGATAGATAAGACACAAACACCAAAGGAAAAGAAGAAAAAACGGGGAAGAAAACCCGACCCGCAACGAGATTAAGGTATGCACCGAGAGGGAAGAGGAGAGAGAGATCAAGGAAATAGATATTACCCATCCACATCAGGGACCACCGCGAACGTTCGTTTCTTTCTTTCTCCTCCCTTGTTTTCGACGTGATGTGATTCTTGCTCTCTCCGATAAGTATGCTCTAGCATACCCCTCGCAATAGGGGTATGATGATGCTTTTTGGGGGGTGAATCTTGGGCCATTCGAATGATTCCAATGAGCTCTTCAATCGCGAGCGTGTGAAATAAGATTGAGGTATTAGAGAAGAAAGGATTTAGAATTTCCGCTCCTGGAGGAAGTTCAGAATCTCGGGTTTGCGCCAGCCCTATACAAAGATATCAGTTTCTGTTGACTGATGATTAACACCATAAGAAGCGAACATACCTTGACAATGATGTGGCCAGTGAGTCGGTTAAGAGTAACATCCGGGTTCGGCTTGTTTCCGTCAACAACACCCAGGGCAGAAGCTAGGTCGTTGCGGAGCGCGTCCAGATCGCCTTCGGTCTTCTGGAGCTTGGTGAGTTGCTTGGTGCCGCCGGCCTTTGTGACGACGTAGACAGGAAGCTGGTTGGAGGCAGTGCGACGGACGAAATATGGGAGGTTGGTGAGCTGCAGGGTGGGAGTGGGCTTCTTGTCTGATTTGGCTGGGGATGGGGTCGCCGATGGGGTGGTAGATTGTTGTTTCAGGGCTTGCGCTTGACGGCCGAGATGAGCGAGGAAGGTACGGCTTTGGCGGGTAGGGAGAGTAGGGAGAGAGAATTGAGGACGATCTGAGAGGAAAAGGGTTAGACATGCGCTTTTTTCTTTGTTGAAGCGAAACCAACACGCCATAGATGCGTGTTTTTCTTTTTCTTTCTCTCTTGTCTGTTGGTTACAAGACATTGCAAGACCCGAGGGTTTGGCTTTGCTCTTGTACTTCCTACAATATCAAGAGATCGAGATAAAACCGAGCAAATTGTCACTTACGTGAAGCTTTCAACCTCGCCTGAGGACATAATGTGGAAAATGAACTACATGTCTGAACGGAAGCCACGGACTGTGCAGAGTTGACGCGAAGAGGAATGGTCGTAGCCTGCTTTCGCATGGCGGAGGACGGGCCTGAGTATAGAATAGACGGCATTTCTCGCGTTCTAAAGGGCCGAAATAAAAGACCTGGTTGGAGAAGATAGAGATATCAAGGCAGAGACTGGGAAGATCGGGGAGCGACATCTGATGCTCCTCTGCTCAGATTTTCTGCCACCGCTTTCCCAACACCCACTTCCAAAAGGGGTTTAGGGCCACCGACGCCCGCACAATCTGCAAATTCTCCATTGATCGCGGTTGGCCCTTTGTTATCCCCCTCTAGACCTTTAACCCCCTTCTGCCATCTTTTGAGATCCAATATGGCAGACAACGCCCCCCCTACCGCTGAGACTTTGCTCAGCGGCGCTGCTGCTCACCCGCCCAAGACCGCCGAGGACATCGCCTCCCAGCATGATTTGCTGCCCCGACTCATCCCGTACCTCGACCGTCACCTGGTCTTCCCCCTGCTCGAATTCAGCGCTACCGGCGATGAGGAGGACAAGGAAATCACCCGGGCGAAGTACGAGCTCCTCAAGCACACCAACATGACCGACTACGTCGCCAACCTGTGGCAGGAGATCAACGATTCCGACACCATTCCCGAAGAGTTTGTGAAGAAGCGCGAGGAGGTTCTGGCCAAGCTACAGCACTACCAGGATCAGAGCGAGAAGATTTCCGAATTGTTGCAGGATGAGGAGGTCGTGGGTAACCTGCGAAGCGACAAGGCCGCCAACTTGCGGTTCCTCGAGGAGCAGCACGGTGTCACCAACGAGATGGTCAACTCTCTCCACGACTACGGACGCTTCCAGTACAGCTGCGGCAGCTACGGAAACGCCGCTGAGCTGCTTTACCAGTTCCGTGTTCTGTCCACCGACAACGACAAGGTTGCCGCCGCCACATGGGGTAAGCTCGCATCAGAGATCCTGACCACCAACTGGGAGGGTGCTATGGAGGAGGTTCAGAAGGTTAAGGACTCAATTGAGACCCGCCTGTTCAACAACCCCCTGGCTCAGCTCACCAACCGCTCTTGGCTCATTCACTGGTCGCTGTTCCCCTTCTTCAACCACGACCCCGCCCGCGACGTCCTCACCGACCTCTTCTTCTCCCCCGCCTACATCAACACCATCCAGACCAGCTGCCCTTGGGTTTTGCGGTACCTCGCCGCCGCTGTCATCACCAACCGCAGCCGCCCCCACAAGCACTCCGGTGTCTACCAGAAGCAACTGAAGGATCTGATCCGCGTTGTGCGCCAGGAGGACTACGAGTACACCGACCCCGTCACCGATTTCGTCAAGGCCCTTTACGTCGATTTCGATTTCGAGGAAGCACAGAAGAAGCTTGGCGAGGCCGAGGATGTGCTGCGCAGCGATTTCTTCCTTGTGTCGGCCGCCGACGCTTTCGTCGACGCTGCCCGCCATCTCATTTCCGAGAGCTACTGCAAGATCCACCAGCGTATTGACATCAAGTAAGTTGTTTGTATTTGGTGAAGTGGCATGAATAACAGACTAACACCTCTTTTCTTTTCTCTAGGGACCTTTCCACCCGTCTCGGCCTGAACCAGGACGACGGTGAGAAGTGGATTGTCAACCTTATTCGCGACACCCGCGTTGACGCCAAGATCGACTACAAGGAGGGCACTGTTATCATGAACCACCCCCCTCAGTCGGTTTACCAGCAAGTCATCGAGAAGACCAAGGGTGCCTTCTTCCGCACACAAGTCTTGAGCGCTGCTGTTGCAAAATAAAAACACCATGACCTTGATGTTGAAAACTGAACTTTTCTCTGTTATGTGATTTCCAACTTGTTTCTGCCTGCCCCATTTTTTTTAGTGATCTCCCCGTGTAGGTCACAACACGGTTGTTTGGGGACTCCATGCAGAGTGGCATCCGGCTGGCGTTTTTTCGGGGGTCCACACTTATTTCTTTACCTCTTTAGTCTTGCAGTTCTTATGCAATCACTCTCTCCCCATATTTTTTTCACTTCCTGTGTCGGATATTTTGCTTGACCTCTTTATGTATTGGCCATTTCTGACCCTGGAGGTTTGGACGGAGGGGGTCCCCAAAAGCAGCCATAGAATCATGGCGCCCTCAAATCTGAGGGGGAAAAAGATGAGAGATGGAGATATGTAGTAGACTCTTTGATCTTAGGGTCTGATTTATCTATGCTGTTACGAATGGTCTATAGAGATGAGTGAAAGATGATGTCTTTTTTGACAATAACCCTTATTCCAAGCTATCCTTGTTCTTAGCCTAGGCTTCTCAAAGCTTCAAGTACCGGGCATTATGTCCCCGTTTAATATTGATGCTTCGTCATTATCATAATCAGCGTTGAAGATAAGACCCGTTGGACGTCCACCTTCGCCTCTTTCAGCCCTAGTGCACATCCTCTACTAAGTCGAATCATTCCCATTGTCTTCTTCCCTCCCCAACCCCAAAATATCAGTCCAGTTGATGATTTTCTATCTGCTAGTGGCTCTTACTCCGCGAGATTATAATGTATATAATATCAGATTCAGCGCTAGAACACACTAAACAAGATGAAATAAGAAAGTAGGGTATATGAGAACGAGACAAAAGGCACATGTTCCTATCAGCTCAAAACAGGGCTACCGCTAATGCCCACAAGAGCCGCCGCGTCCATCCCAGGATTGGGTTCCTTTCCTTCCACTGCTCCATCCGGGCTTTTGCAATCCAAGGATTCCGACTTGGTAACAGAGTCAGAGGCTGGGTATTCCATGTGGCCAATGTCTCTGCAATCCAAAGGATACTCCGGGGCATGAACAACGAGTTAACATAAGGCCGAACGGAGCAGTATCAGGCGGCGACACAGGAAAGTGGCCTTCCCCCATGTTGCTGGTCGACGGAATCCTAAAACGGAGCCAAGGGCTGGAAAAGAAACACCAATTCCAATGGATGGAAGCAAGGAAACAAGACTGGCCTCAATGACCGCCTCGTGAGTCTGGTTATGCACGCCTGCGTGTTCCAGATTGATTAAGAGGGATGATTTCATTGATGTAAGGCTCAGGCTGAGTGGCTGAATTGTCGCTGCTGGAGCTAGAAGTCGAAGAGCCGGTGGTGTTGTGAGCCATTCGAGTAGCTTCCTGCTTCTCGTACTCTCGGGACATTACCGCGAGATCATCAATTTGTTCCTGTTCGGAGAAGTTAGCGATGTGTAATGTTCGGTTCTCTCTCTCTCTCTCTCTCTCTCTCTCTCTCTCTCTCTCTCTCTCTTTTTTTTTCCTCTTCCACTTCCACTTCATGTTTACACAAAGACGGGGAAACAAACCCGCGTGAGTGGCACGCCATTGACGAGGTAACCATCGCGTCCCTGTAAGTATATCTAGTTAGATCGGGTTGTATAAAGGGCATGGTAGAAGCATGGCAAGACATACCTGATAGCTGTAGGGTCTGACTGTTGCACTTGGCCCAAGAAAGTAATGGATATGGCCTAGGACAATATGTCGGGACAGCCCATATCCCGGAAGCCAGTATTGCTGGACAGGAGACATTGTCAAGGCTAAGAGGTGAGGCGTCGAGCCGAGGCGAAGAAAGAGCTAGGGTCTGATGTCAGTCGACACCGACACACAAACGGTCCGTGCCTGGAAGCTCTTTGTGGGACTTTTGGCATAGCACAGAAGGACGAGGCATCAGTATAAATAGGTTAGTTGATACCCTGGTTCAACAAATAACAATCCCACCTGAAACCGAGACGCATAAGACAAGTCTCTATCGGAAATGCACTAACCGCCAGTCCCCAATCCTTCGGAGAATATGGTCTCACAAAAGGCCAACGGCAGAGGGGACCGCACATCCCCCCCCCTTCATTGAGTAGTATGATCCACCAAGTCGGCTGCACATAGGCAAATGAAACCAATCGGTTACCCACGAATCCGGTAACTCTCAAGCGAGTCTCCACGGAGGGCGGCAAGAAGAAAGGGAAACCAGTGGAGAGTCAGCAGAAACGGCCCAGACCCTGTGCCCTGATCTCGAGAGGATGGTTCATGTCGGAATGTTCGGGGGGTGGAGGACAAGAGAACCACTCGCCTCACTTTATCAACCAACGAGGCCCAACCCTTTTTTTTCTCTCTCTGATATGTGTCAATCTGGAGCTTCTGACCGTCAAAATGCAACGGGAACCTAGTCTGCCCACTTTTTCCACTGTTTAATACCGAGGACCCGGTCTTGGACGAAAGTGAGGCTTGCATGGAGGAGCAACGGCCTCGAATCAATCCCAGGGCGCATAGAATTGGAGTATTTTCCTAACAAGAGAGTGGACAGTGCACCTGTAGGAGGATTTGGAAGAGGAAGTAAATAAGTTCTGACGTCTCCCTTTCTCTCACCGCAGATTCTCAGACCTATGCAGCGCCAAATTGGCTCTTACTGCGGTGGTGTCGTGGCACCACGGATTGTGGGTTTAGATCGCGGGGGCCACTGACCTGCAGCGAGGACATCTGCAGCCCTCGCTTTTAGGGCATGAATTCTGAATTTTCAAGGCAATATTGTAGTATAAGGGCTTTTGGTTGTCAAACCCCATGGTAGATGGGGAAAAGTTTAAGTGCGGGAATGATTGAAGTTCCCCTCACGAGGATATATATTAAATGGGGGTCCAATATCACTTGACCAAAGATGGTGTGTGTGCGTTTTGTATCTCCGATCGAGATGTAACCAGGAGGTTCATCACAGAGGTCAGTTAGGATGTGATAGGATATGCATGAACGCATTCATGTCCGTTAGTCCAGATGCTCCCGAGGTCTACATGAGGGTCCAAACCAATCCTAGTCCACAAGGCCAACGCTTCATGTAATATTCTCTAGTCTTTTCATAATTCGTCCGACATGAGCGAAAACAAAATATCTCGCATCGACATTGCCTTTACTGAGGAGGCACATATGGCGTCACCAACATCTCACTGAACTTCTCCAACTTCTCCTTCCCGCGAACTTCCTCAACCAGCATTGGCATGCGGACCACATTGAAATCCTCATAGAGCTCCTCGATCTGATCAAGGTACTTCTTCTGCATCTTTCTCCGGGCAGTGCATTGTTCGCAACCGCTTCCTTCTTTGGGGAACAGCAGCTGGTTGACAACGATTGAGTGGGTATCGATGTTGTAGCTGGTCAATTCCTGGATCATGCGTTCCGTCTCGTAGAGCGACAAGAACTCTGCAATGCATACACAGACAAAGGTGGTCATGTCTGGGTTCTTGAATTGTGTGTTGACCTCGCTAATAGTCTCGCGCAACGACTCCATCTTCTGCAGCAACTCATCCATGTTCTGACCTCCGGGTAGACCGCCACGAGCGCCCAGAATCGAGTTGAGCATCGGACCGAACTGGGTGGAGAGCTGGGAGAGCTTGGCTAGCGCCTTCTCGAGCACGGTGGGGAATTGGAGGAATCGAAGGGTGTGGCCGGTCGGCGCGGTATCGAAGACAATGACTTCGTAGGAGAGCGACTTGACCTGCTTCAGGACTTCGGCAAAGGACATAGCTTCGTCAACACCGGGAATCTGCCATCACCAATAGTTAGATTGACACGTAGAATGTATGGTACGACAGCCGCATAAGCACTTACGCTGAAGGCAAGATCCTGCATCATGTTTCCCATGCCCAATCCCGCCATGGGATCTTCACCCTGACCGTCTCCGGTGGCGAGCAGATCCTGGATGCTCCCATTGGGGTCGATCTCCATCGCGCTCAGGTTTGAGTAGCCATCGATCAGGCGGGCCTCCTTTCCGAACTTTTGACCGAAAGCGTCGCTCAGGTTGTGTGCGGGGTCGGTCGAAATGAGGAGAACGGATTTGCGGACTTTGGCCAGCTGGATCGCCAGCGAGCACGAGGTGGTGGTCTTACCCACACCTCCTTTTCCTCCGACGAAGATCCAACGGAGAGTGTTTTGGTTGAGAACTGACTGGAGCGTAGGCTCCATGTCAAGGTCGTCGCCATGTATCACGGCGGAGGACATTGTGTATGATCTGTTGAAATTCTAAATGTTGCGAAGTTGGGGAGCTTGGAAGTTCAAGTGTTCCCAAGTTGCCCCGCAAAATCGAACTTTCCGGAAGACAAGACTTTCACGAATATTCTCTCACCTTTCTCGTGGTGTTTTAATATATATGCAATTGGTCCTAGATGCAAGATATCTAGGTAGAGTTCTAATTTCTTCCATTCTTCTAATAATTGGATTGGTTTATATGACCCTTGGAGCTCTTTGTCCTCGAACTGACAGATCAATCCCAGTTAAGTTGTCTTAATAGAATTAATTCTATTTACTACAAATAGTCACTAAAATAGGAATCGAAGAAGCTATCCAACATATATGCGCGAGTTATGGATCCCCAATTGATAGCTGCATGGCACTCTCCGCGGCCATCGGTATCCTCCGATGAACCCTTCGATAGCAATGTAGAGCTCCTCCTTCCAGCATAATCTTCTTTTCTCTTTTTCTTCTTTTCCTATATTCCATATCCCCTTTGAATGAATGGACTCCCCTCAAAACAACCAACAACTTGGTCGCACCACCAACCGCCTCGCACTTTATCAGCAACAAATATCCCCCGCCCCGCACACCAAAGGCTCAGACCCAATCAAGAAACCATCAACCACCATGGCAGCGCGTGACCCTATCACCTGTCATTGCCTTAACACTTTGTCGGGAACACCCGCAGCCAACCTGCCAGTGATTCTGACCCTCCTCTCCACCCCGACATCCGCCGCCAGCGGCATCTCATTCCGCGCAATCACGAACGCCGACGGCCGTGTCGCCAACTGGACACCAGTTGGAACAACCTCAGAATCAGTCCCTGCTATCTTGGCTGCCCTACCTGCTGCAGACAGCAAGACCAACTGGTCTGTGCGCTTTGACGTGGGTCCCTGGTACGAGGCACAGGGCATCGAGAGCTTCTGGCCAGAGGTTGAGGTTAAGTTCACTGTCAAGGGACGTGGACGCGAGGGTGAGGAGGGCTGGCGCCATTATCATGTTCCTGTCCTCCTGGGCCCTTGGAATTACTCGACTTATCGGGGTTCGTGAAGACTTGGTATAAATCAGGGTTCTTTTTTAAGGATGAGCTGGGAATTGTCAATATTTCGATCTTTTCAGGGCTTGATAGATATACGTCAATCGGTTATCTCTATTGGAAAAGTGGTGTTTTGAAGCATGAATCTTGGCAATGGTTTTCGTTGCTCGGTTGTCCTCTGAAAGCTTTGCACTTCTAGATATGTAGGCGAGGATAATAGCTTCCTATTGAACAACTTGTAGTTCACTTGCTCTCAGAAAGAGAAGAGACATACAGACCACTTCAACTACCTCAAGTGAATTGTGGATACATTGAAGATCTTGTCAAACCTTGATCTTTCTATCTTCCGCCAATCGTACTACACTAGAGTTATGATATTCTATTGCAGGCGTGCTTAGGCTATACCTTTATGAGCCCGAGCCGGCAACCTAATCCTAGAGCCTGCGTGTAAAGCAACAATATCTTGACTGTGCAAGTTTTTGGTATTAACTAGCGGCATATATTGTTTAAATATAGTCGAATGTTTCACCCAATTCCGGTATTATTGGGTGGTTCGATAAACATGGGGCGTCGACAATATTTTATACCATTCGTTATGGCATTCGTTCTCTTTGAATTATATTTTAGCTCTCAAGATGCGTCAAGGGTCATGTTTCAACGTAGTCGTCAATTCCACTTTAACAATTGCCGTGATGCACATACGTACAATCAAGGTTGAAGGATACCAAGACTGTGGGGAAATGGCTCTCCACCCTGAAACCCTACGAAATCGCCCAATGGCATAGTGATTCAAGGGCAAATTTGGACCAGAACACTCTTTGCAATTGTTGTAAGGATTGGCGTTCAGTTTAGGTTGTTAAGTATGCATAAGACAGACTGCACGTTCTCGAGACACTACTAGTAGTTGATTAATGTAATCCTCTTTCCACACATGACAGGCCTTTTCCATTGATACCAGGGGTATACATCGTGCCTTGATAACAATGTTATTTATGTAACGTACGACGCGATTTTGTGTACTCCGTATGCATACGACGCGTATGTTGTATGGAGTACCTATGGATACACCCGTGGATACACCCGTGGACTGCCGTTGATTAATAATTATCTGTTGGGGGCCAGTAACAGGTCGTACAAGTTTTACATATACAGAACTCGGTCAAATACGATATGTCCTTTCCTGTTCCCCATTTGGCATATAATAATAATCTGTTCACATATATAATCTGTTCACATATATAATATGTCCAAGCATACATATGTTGTACAGTATGAAGATCAATATCTAGAATTCCAGTGGCAAGATACAACATAGATAGAACCCTCACGTGCGATCGATTGCGTCATCATTTTCACCGCATTCTTCGAGTTGTGTGAATCCCTCGCCTTGGCACTGGAGAATCATGGGCTTTGATTGGCTCCAATAGTGCATATGACCCACAGCGGGAGAGATTTCTGTCGTCACCGTGACATAATGATAATACCTGCCCAGGTGGGCTGGGATGACCAACCTTGGAACTCCCCCAGGGTATCAAAGATGCAAGCATCGAACATTGAACTCTCTGCCAGTCCACGGGTTGGAAGGATTGCGAAGAGTTCGACTTGATATTGTGCAATTTTTCGGTCCTTTTCGAGCCAGTGATGTTAACCCAGATGGACTCCGCTCTCCAAACTAGCAAATGACGATTGACCCATTCAATCGATTCTCCACCCTATGGTCAATATCCCAGGCAAGGGTGTTTTTTCTTTATGTTGTATGGTGTAAAATGTCTGAGATGGGAGGAGGGTAGCACCTCATCCGGACAGAATACATAGGCAAATACGAAGATAGAAGAGTACCAATAGTAACCTTTGAAAATTGTACAAATGTCTCCGGGGGAAACCAAGGCCGAATCAGATTTGAAGAAAGACAATTACAGTCATGTATGTTGTATTTTTACACACGCACATAATTTGTCTAATCTTTTTAAAAAATACTTTAAATACAGTACCTGACGGTAATTGTGTTTTTTTCTTCAACTGCCAAAATCCCAAATTCCCTAAATTTCATCATATCCCTCTTCCCCCTACGTCACTCTCTTCCTCTCTTCACCCTCACTCTCGAGAAGCCATTGTTTGTTTGGCTTTACAGATTTTATATCCATTATATTCGAATAAACCCGATGTCTGCTGCGGTCGCTCCAGCTGTATCGACTCTTCGATCCAACGCTATGTCTTCATCCCCCATGGACTCGAAGAAGGCAGAAAAAGAAGGTTCGTGTCACGCTTTCTTACATTTGCGCATTTTTTTCTAGTACTTTTGCTTTATACTGTGATTTTGTCATCTGGATGTCTTTCCCTTATTTCATGTTCTGCATTATACTTCCAGAAAAGAAAAAAAGTCCCCTTTTTGGTTTGGTAATACGCCACTGTCCCCGATCCTTAAATTCCCCAAGTCCTTTGCCGTCGCGATGACTTCACCCACTGGCGTCATTGATTTCCTCCCCACCAACACATGCATCTTCCACACACAATGAAGCCCCCGACTCGATCCCAAAACCGCAGTGGTACCTATTTGCGATCGCATTAATTCTTGGCGCGTATGCTAACTCGAAATTCCCGCCAGACTCGCAGGCCGCGTCTTCACAGAAGGACCAGAAATCTAACGTAGAGAATCAGACCTCGTTGGCGCCGCCTCCACGACCGGGTGCGCCTACCGCGTCTGATACTCCGGACTACTTCAATTCCATGCACAATCCTTTCTCGCTAGAGCCTAATCCATTTGAGCAATCGTTCGGAGGGAATCCAGCCGACACCCCAGGCAAATCGCTCCTTCCCTCTGTCGCTGCCCTCACCTCACCGGCCTTACCTGGAACAAGCTCTGCTAGTGGTTACAATTGGAACAACTCGCTACGCTCGGGACCTCTTAGTCCGGCTATGCTCCCAGGGCCCACTGGCCCTAATGACTACTTCGACAGCATTGGTCGCGGCTTCCCTACCCCGAACGAGTCTTCCCTTCGTACGGGTCTGACACCTGGCGGTGGAGGCTCCATGTTCCCGGCCCCCAGTCCAAACTCACAAGCTCTCTTGCAACAACTTCAGAACGGCGGTGCCACTCCTTCTACTATTGATTTCCATCGCACCGCACTCGCAGCAAAGAAGAACAACTCGAATGCTCCCACCTCCAACCCCAACGAGCAGGAACAGGCTGCTGCCAATATGGATGTAAAACCAGCTCGGCCCGCTGACTTCACTCAGCATGATGCGGCTGATGCGGCGAATGGACTGTTCATGCTGGCAAAGGGTGGTCAGGCGAACAATGCGCCAATGAACCATGCCCCAATGTCAAATGATACTCGTGCAGCTGCCCGACGTGTCTCCCAGAACACCAATGGCACCAGTGCTGAGGATGCATCTGACCACGAACCCGCTAAACCCGCTAAGGGCAAGGGCAAGAAGAACACCGCTAAGGCCCCTGCTGCCAATAATCGCCGCAAGGCTGAAGACGCCCCGAAGGGATCCAACAAAAGGTCTAAATCCAGCATGGAGATGCCTTCGGATATGGATGATGAGGATGATGAGGACGATGATATGAAGCAATTCCCAATGGATACTAAGAAGATGACCGATGAGGAAAAAAGACGCAATTTCCTAGAGCGGAATCGGTATGAATGACCATCTTATATATTCAGGGGTTTGGAATGCTAACGTTTGTACAGTGTCGCGGCTTTGAAATGTCGTCAACGGAAGAAGCAGTGGCTGGCTAACCTTCAAAATAAGGTTGAGCTTTTTACCTCAGAGAATGATGCTCTTACTGCTACAGTGACTCAGCTGCGTGAAGAGATTGTCAACCTCAAGACTCTGTTGCTGGCACACAAAGATTGCCCGGTCTCTCAGGCCCAGGGGCTCGGCCCCCTTATGATGAACGGCATGTCAGCCGGATACGATCACCACGGGTATAATATGCCTCCCAACATGGGCATGCAGCCCGGTGGCATCCCCACACAGGGCATGCGTCGATGAGAAAAGCTGTTTTGTTTCTCATCTCAAGATGCCTATCTTGCTTTTCGCCGCATGAAGGAAATACAGTTCACTGCCTAGACCCGGCGGTTGATCTCTTCTTCCTAGGAGTTTGTTTTTCCTCGCGGTTTCTTTCGGCTAAGGCTTTGCCGATTGTTTTGGCATGGGCAGGTGTTAATGATCCTCACGACTCAAAAATGGACGGACTAACTTGGTGGTCTGGAATGACCTTTTTTTTGAGGGTGTGTCAATCCGGCGTATGAGATGCTTTCTTTTCTATTTATGGCTACTTCGAGGTTGATGTTCTGCTTTACGATGTTCCCTCTTTCACTTGTTGTATTTTTTTACCCTTTGCTTTTTCTTCTTTTAATCCTCCTCCTTGATGGCTCAGAGGAATTTTTACCTTTCGCTTGTCTAATACTTGAGGGCACATCGGTGCATTGTTTGTTTTCCCAAGTGTGGGTTGCTTGTGTCGAAATACATGATTCCTGGGTGGCGTACGGATGGCTTTGTGATTTTTTGATGTGTTTTGACAAGTTTCCTCGAACCAGATGGTTGGGCAAATAAATCGACAGTCGCTCTGAAAGTGTGTTAAATATTCTTGTAGATCTTCATCTAGTAGATGCTGGATGGAGAGGGTACATCATGACTGCAGTTTCTAGCCTTGGGAGCTATGGGAGACATCGTGTATCATTTATTAACTTTCTATGGTAAATCTTTTGATTCGTGTACGCCTAAAGTTAGAAAATCCTTGTCAAACTCGGCTTCATCCACATGGGCTTTTCACATGTGTTGTTCGTGCGCCAATTTTGGATCTTGTCGTTGTCCCATCCAGCCGTGAATTGCTCGGCAAGTTCCCGCTTGCTAGCAGCTCCAAGTCGCAAGCTCCGTACAAACACACAGGCTCCAGCGGTGTCATATGTGTAAGACATACACCAATCCCTGTCATGGCATGCCTGACGACAAGCTTCTAATGACTCATGCTGGGGTAGAGTATCGGGTTGTTCGATGATTCCACCCCATGCTCCATTATCCCATCCCTTTCGCTCTGCCAACTGTCCCAGACGAGGGTAGTCAACCAAGTCTGCGTACAGCAAGGGGCCCTGGATTGATAAGAGTCAGCGTGTGTACCACTACCACCAGACAGTTTCAGCAAAAGGAATCCATACCGTTCTGTCCCGCTCATCCTCCCAGTCCGCCAGCCCTATCATATCGCTCAATTGTGATTTATGCATGCTGATCGCAGGCTGGCACCAGTGATGATCATCACCAAAGGGAATCGAGTCCAGCGGGTGTGCATTGAACATCGGCCACATCCCAGACAACTCAATGCCCTTTTCATACAGCGCAAACCCAAGCACAGAGTCACCGCAGCAGTCATCTTTCACAACCTGCATATACTGTTCGCTGAGTGATTGTCCAATAAACTGCCCATATTGACCAATCTCCCGCGCAACCAATGTATCAACCGCAGCTCTGGACAGCACAAAGCCCGAACCACCGTATGCAAACCAGTTGACTTTTCCATCACCGATGTCGCGGCCTGGTGCAGGTGATCCCATATACAGAGGGAACGATGGGTCAAACTGTTCCAGCAATCGGAACAGATTATCCCACACGAAGTAAGTGTCTGTCTCTAGAAAGACGTACCACTCCGCACTGGGGTTCACTTTCTTAGCACGCTCTACCATGGGTAGGAACTTGAATCGATCGAGTTTCCACCCGGCCGCACCGTCGATATTGCTCTCTCCGCGTTGTAGCGCATCGTACGCTTCGAACTCCGGAATCAGATTCCAGGCTGAGGGGGCTAGATCAGCTAGGATATTGTGCGCATTATGGCCATGGAGTTTAGTCTCTTTGTCTGATACAACTAGTAAGTTGGAGATACAGCGGGTTACTGAGGCCATGTGTGTGTCGACTCGTTTCGGGTCTTCGGTTGCGCTGGTTTTCAAGATAATCTGAATGCGCGATAGCATGTCTGAGGGGAAAGCGTCACAGGTTGCATTTTGTGAACTCCCGGTGTCATTGCTGCCATCGTCATGCTTGTATTTCCGGAATCGGGTGCTCGTTTCCCATGTCCAGTAGTCTTTCTCGTTCGCAAGCTCGTCTTTCGCGCTTGGTGAGATGTCTTCTGATAACCCCCCGGAGTATAGTGTGAGTAGAAGGATGGTTGAGACGGTTAAGAATACAGCGAGTAATTTGAGCTTCGTGTTGCATAGAACTCGGAAAATTGGCCGCGCGGGCGCAGTGGTAGATGCGCATGTGCCCATATTGGGGGATTGCACATTTGGTTTACTAAAGCAGGGACATGGAAAGAGAAAGGAAAGATTGTAAAAAGAATAGATATAAATCAAAAAATAAAATCAATTAATGCTTAGTTAGGACCTCTGGGGTGGCACCTAATCCTACAGATCCTGTATGAACGACTCACGGACGTCACTATAGCGGGTCTGCTCCAAATTTCCTCGAGTCGTGGCCATAATGTTGCATAAACCTTGGCTACACTTTGATTGCACATTAGCTTGGGCAGGGCCCAACAATTGCTGGAATTCACACCGAATGATCTAGGTTCCTTATGAATATTCCATGATTGGCCTGGTGAAGCCCACGCTCCAGTCTTCTTAAACTGTATAGGTGGGCTCATGCGGGGGTTTAATTGTTGTGGTGTACTCGTCGAGAAGGTAACCCACAAAGTAGCCCGGGGAACTACGTTGTGATAAAAAAAACCAGGGAGTTGTGAGCCTATGATGTGTTGTAGCAACTTTCAAGATTGGGACTTTGATATGACAGGGATGATATCTATATCGGGTAAGGCGGAAACTCAGATAGCGATACGTCGATAATATTTTGTTGCCTTGGGGAACTGGCATCAACATACGCCAAACATCACAAACACAAACATTCAAGCTTCAAGCTTCAGTCCGCGTTACTTCCATTGAGATGCAATTTAAAAGGTTCATTTCAGACGTGTGTTGAAATTATACAGTCTAGTATCAGGCTTGATTCGCGACCTTCCCACCTCAACCCGTTGCCTGACCGCGATCTTTTGCCTAACAATTCACCCGCAAACAAAGCACCCACAGACGCCAACCCCGAGCGAGCAGATACAAGACACCGAACAATTCGCCCACTAGGGCACCGGGCAGACAATGTCAAATCCAGCCCGAAACCCTGCGCGCGGACGCCGCTTAGACGACGCCCTCTCCCAGCTAGTCGATGGTCTGACCCCCGCGCTCCCGATCTCCGCCATCCAAGACGAAGACTACTCCGACACAGAGGAGGCCCTCGCCTCAGCCGAAAGCCGCCGTCACCATGTCCTCATGGAGCGCGCCTGGCGCATCCTCGATACCCATGCCAGCACCAACGCCCCAGACCCAGGATCACCAACGGGGCTTGGTGGACGGCGCGGAAGTCTCGCGGGAACAGAGAGCGTCAATAACGCGCCAGATCTGATTAAGCGCAAGCTGCGCCGCGAAAATGTCAGCCCGGATAAGGCGGTGCGGTTTTCTAATCTCTACTCTCGCCTCCTGACGCAGCCTGTGTTGTCGCAGAAATGGGGGATCCTCTTTTTGCTTTATAAGTTGTCTGCCTCGGATGAGCCAGTGGAGGGCGGGGAACGAAGCCGGAGCCCGTTGATGGACGAGGCGCATTTGCACAATATGTTGGGGAAGGGTGGTACACGCCCAAGACGGGGCACTATGATCGACTCGGAGGATGAGGGCCCCGCTATTAGCTCGTCGGCTTCGCAGCAACACCAACGCGTTCTACCGCCGAAGATGGAGCGACAGAGCTCCTTACGACATGATTTCGACCGTGATGGTGTACATCAGGCTGGGCGTGGCTCGACTGAAATACCAGCCGTTCGCGTTGATGCTGGAGTGAATGACCGTTCCGGCGATGAGCATGCTCGTGCTGCCTCGCCTCGGCCTTCGAGTGCTAATCCATCGGGCCCCGCGAATTTTGCTGGGTCTGTTGAGCATAGGCTCCTGCGCGACCTTCCGTTCAACTTGCAAGGGTTGTCTTCGTCGAATTTGCAATTCAGTTCCTCGTCGAGCTTGAAATTGCCCTCAAATTTGTCTGCGCCGATAACCTCACTTCTTAACACGTTGGCGGAGCCTTGTCTGCTCTATAAAGGACTGTCTGCGTTTGTGGAGAGCGAAGAAGGCGGACTGGTGAACCAGAGCTTGCGAGCTGCCATTGCCATTGAGCTACGCGCATATCTTAGCTTGGTGGCTACACTTGAGGCGGAAATCCGACAGGCGCTGACCGCGATTGGAGACGGAACTGAACCTCAAGGTGTACGAAAAGGTGGCGTAACCTTGAAGCGATGTGTGGTGTGGACGAGAGATGCCACAATGGCCCTTCGATTGATGAGCTTAATCGTAGAAGAGGCCCAGAGTAAGTGCACAGACATATGACTAAATTTGCTTGATAGCTAACACATATCACAGGCAAGAGAGGTGGGCAGTTGATTTCATTAATACACGGCTTTTCAACATCCCACGGAGATCCCTTCGTGTGCGCATTCGCCGAGAAGCTTCTTGCACATGTGACGCGTCCATTCTACGACATGCTACGACTATGGATTTACGATGGTGAACTGTCAGATCCTTACAAGGAGTTCTTTGTCGCTGACCCAGAGTTCCGGCCGAAGACTGACCCTCGGCGGCTTGCAACTAGCGTCTGGGAGGACAAATATAAGCTTGATGATGACATGCTACCTTCAATAATTACTCAAGAGTTTGCGAAGAAGATTTTCCTGATTGGAAAATCCTTGAACTTCATCCGCCATGGCTGCGGTGATTCGGCGTGGGTGGAGGCCTATTCAAAGAAAGCCTCTAAGGAGCTTCGATATGGTGATACCGCCACCCTCGAGATCTCCATTGACGAGGCATATAAGACCACAATGGCTCGATTGATTTCCCTGATGAATGGAAAATTCAATCTCTTCGATCATCTAAAAGCACTGAAGAGTTACCTGCTCCTGGGCCAAGGAGACTTCATTGCTTTGCTCATGGAGTCGCTCGCCACAAATCTGGATCGTCCAGCAAATTCACAATACCGACATACCCTAACTGCACAGCTGGAACATGCTATCCGTGCCTCCAATGCACAATACGACACCCCAGAAGTGCTGCGTCGGCTTGACGCCCGTATGCTCGAGCTGAGCCACGGTGAAATTGGATGGGATTGCTTCACATTAGAATACAAAATCGATGCTCCTGTGGACGTGGTCATCACACCTTGGGCATCAACTCAATACTTGAAAGTTTTCAACTTCCTATGGCGCATCAAGCGAGTTGAGTTCGCGCTGAACAGCACCTGGCGCCGATGCATGACTGGTGCACGAGGAGTGCTCGGCAACGTGGAGGACAAAGTCGGAGCAGACTGGAAACGAGCACGCTGCGTGATTGCAGAAATGATCCACTTCGTCAACCAGCTCCAATACTATATCTTGTTCGAAGTCATCGAATCCAGCTGGGAACAACTACTCGAGGCAATCCAGAGACCCGACTGCACACTGGACGACCTTATCGAAGCACACACCAAATACCTCAACTCCATCACTCACAAGGGTCTACTAGGATCTGCATCCTCCTCGCGCTACGGCACCTCAACCTCGACCTCCGCAAAACAACCCGAAGAAAGCTTCCTCAGCCAGCTCCACCAGATCCTCAAGTTCATGCTTGCCTACAAAGACGCCGTAGACGGCCTGTACTCCTTCTCCGTTGCGGAATTCACCCGGCGCCAGGAGATAAACGCGAAGATCGAGACTCGCTCCGCCCAGGGTCAATGGGGTCTCTCAGAGCGTGATCTCCTCTCCCGCCAGTCCAACACCCGGACCGGGACCTCAATGGCCTCGACCCCAGACATCCGACCCGACAGTGCTGGGGTGGACGGTGTCAGCACCCCGCTTTCATTATCTGGCCCCAATCTCGCTGCGGACGAGAACATGCTTGCCTCGCTTCGCGTCCGCCTCCGCGAACTCTCTGCAGAGTTCCGATCCCGTCTCACTGTCCTCCTCGGCGATCTGTCGTATCAGCCGGATGTGGATATGCGCTTCCTGGGCGTTGTGATGAATTTCAACGATGTCTATGAACTGCCTAAACGGCGGAAGGCGGCTGGTCCGAGCGCTAGGGATAAGGAGAAGGAGAAGGAGAAGGAAAGAGAGAAGGCGAAACGGAGGGCTGCTGCGTCAGCGGCGGCTACAGGCTCCGGAACTGAGAGTTTTGTACAGAAGGAAGTGCGCAGAGAGAGGAGAGATACTGGGGCTAATGATCCTGGGTTTGGTTCTGGGGCTGGGATATAGATGTCTGCAACTATTACGTTCCTCTTGTGAGGGCATCATTAATGCAATTGACGAGTTCCACGATATTTTCCTTTTCATTGAAGTGTATACAAGAATATCAAGAGCTGAATACATAGTATAGAACTCTACAAAACAACTACAATATGGATACAGAAATTCATTACACACTAACAAGAGGCTGGCGGCTAGGAGATGAATGGACCTCGGTATCCACATTCTCTGATATCAACCAATCAACCCCACCAATCCCCTGCCAAGCTTTCCACCAAGATCTAGGTTTTGTCCCGTCTATAACGTCGACATTCAATCGACCATTGTCACTAATCTCCCTCGGATGAAACATGAAGATCAAAATACTTTGAAGTTGTTTATTCCATCCCCTGCCAGGCACCTTGGTCGATGCTAGGAATTCTTCGTTGATCAAAACAACCTGAAGAGTGTCGAAGTGTCAAAGATGCTCCCTTGCCATGCATGCCTCTCGCCGATGCCCTCAATCTTCGATCTATTCGGTATTCTAAGTTCAGATCTATACGATACATTCTGCAATGCGTCGATGAGTCGTATGATATTGATTTCCCTATGCCACAGATGCCTGTACTCATACGCAAAACTTGATTTGCAGATCTAGCTCGGAACCTTATCATTATTCCCATTAGTCTAATACAATAATATATTATGTTGATGGCTCTCTATAGCTAGCTTGATTGAACTCTTTAATCTCGGTGCTAGTAAGACATACTGTTGCCACGCAGGAGAAAATACAGGGAGGACAATTTCTGATAAACCAACACTTTATGTTGGTCTGGACTTGGGACTGTGCTTCAGTGCTTCAGTGACACCAAGTTACCCGAGCTATTCACCGGTGAGTCTTTCTGTCATGGCAGGATATATACCCACCATCTCACCACTTGCGAGGGCTACCAAGGACGGCGTGGTCAATTTCATGGAGCTACTCCAAAACAAAAGCCAGAACCTGCTGTGAGAACATACCTAGACAAGAGTCTTCAGTAAGCTCACCGCCGAAGATTTTAGCATTGTATATACAAGGCGTTACCGTCTTTTAAGTATCATAAGGTATAAATAAGGTCAACACCCCCAGATTTTTCATTCTTCTTTTCTTTCTCTCTCCAGCTAGTTGACGACCTACAGATTTTTAGACCTTGTGGCTTGACTATGTCTTGCTGCACTGTGTCATTGGACTTACACTACTCCCATACGATGCGAACCCTTTTTCATCAACTGAAAAGCTTGTCCGGGCACTTGGAGAAGAAGTTGTGGTATCTGTTTTATGGACCTTCGTTTGTCTTGGTGCCCCATAGGAGAGCTGCACCTCTTTCCCTCCGTGAAAAAGTCTCTATTTCTTTACTTCTTGGAGATACTATCTGTATATTACTATGACTGGTGCACCTGTAAATCGAACAAATTAAGCTGCAAATCAAACTTTGCATGCTTGATATAATTGATTTGGGTATAGGACTCGAATGATCTAGTTGGGATTATACAGCATCTGGATGTTATATCAACAGCAATACCTTTAAGCATAATTTTCTGAATAATAACTCAGTACCCTCTGTGTCAATATTTATCATTTTGATGTGTTTCAATTGATGATTTCCTTGAAAGTAGCCCTCTGAGAGTATATAGAAAGAGGAGATAATATGATTGGCCCGCGCAATTGATCGGCAGAAAAAAAGTAGTCTCCGCCCACCCGTCTCAGCACCACAGTCGAGGTCGCATTTACAGGCCCTGAACTTCAGATTTCAACCTTCTCTAGAGCGTCACGCTCCTCCCAGTTACATTTTGTGTTTTGTTAGACCTTGTCGCAATACACCCATAGCAACGATGGCGCACCAGACGGACGCCCAGTCCCCAGCGTCGAAAAAGCTCGGATCGAAGCTCAAGAAGTCGAAGGATTCTACGAAAGATGAGGGAAGTGCAGACGCACAGGAGTCCACTCCTAGCAAAAAAGACGCCAAGTCCGACAAGAAGGACAAGAAGAAGCGCAAGTCCACTTCCGAGGATGCGGCACCCGAGACAGACGGCGAAATGAAGAAAAAGAAGAAGCGCCGCCATACCGAAGATGACAACGACCAGAAAGACAAGGATGACGAATCGCACAAGAAGAAGAAGAAGAAGCGTGTCTCGTTTGGACCCGGAACCAAGGAATTCGACGGCGACTCTGAAAGTGAGTCGGACAACGCCGACAGCAATGACGCTACCGCAACCGACGGAGCCGAAGCAGACACCGAAGATGTCGGAGACAAGACTGCCGAGGAGATGAAGAAGCGCAAGCGCGAGAAGAAGAAGCAAAGAAAAGAAGGCACCGCCTCGACTGAGGTCGCAATTCACGAGACGCCTATTCTCTCGTACCTGAGCCACTACCACCGAGCACGCGCGACATGGAAGTTCCAAAAGAACCGGGAAACCAACTTGTTCAAGCACCTGTATTCGCTTGAGCACGTCCCCTCTAGGTACAACACATCGCTGCTGGCGTACATGCAGGGCCTGAAGGGCGATGCCGCCAAGGTGCGAATGAGCAATGCTGCGAGGGATGTGATCAAGGCCGATATGGATCTCGACAGGCCGAAGGACGACGAAGAATCTGAGAACCAGGAGCCTTCAACAAGCCCCGAGTACCTGGAAGCTATTAATGCGTTCCGCGAGTGCTTGCCAAAGGGAGATGAGGATCTGGACAATGTCAACTTCGGAGAAAAGTTGGAGGGAGACGTCCAAAAGCGTTTGCCGAAGAGGCAGCGAGCAGAGCTGGTCTTTTTCGCTGTTGCCGGCAAGCTTTTCGGCGCCGAGGATTTGAAGAAGCCGAAATCGAAACCCAAGGCTCCCGAGCCCCCGGTGAACAAGAAGCGGAAGAACAGAACTATGGTTGTTGATATCAGCAGCAGCAGCGAAGATAGCGATGATGATGCCCCGGCTCCTAAGAAGGCTGTCAGCAAGCCCGCACCGGATAGCGATGACGAGACCTCGTCGAGCGGCAGCAGCAGCGACAGTGACAGTGATGCCAAGTCGTCTGCTGCCCCGGCCCCAGCCAAACAACGTGCCGCAAGCACTCCTTCATCGTCCGCCCCCAGTGGTGTTGCAGTTCCGAAGGAGACCAAAGCTGCCAAGAAGAAGAAGGAGAAGTTCGTACCAGTTCGCGCAGAAAAGCTTAAGCCCGCTGTGCCGAAGAAGACGCAGAAGCGAAAGCTCAGAACTGCTCAGATCGAAATCTCGAGCAGCGAAAGCGACAGCGAATAGTTCTGACGAAATGGGATTTGGATTGCTATCTAGGGTTTGGATGTGTACATATCTCTACCACAGCATTTGGGACGGTGTAATTATGTTCATGTGAAAAGTCATTTTATCCTCATGTCGTCCATAATTGATGTGCATTGAAGTATGTGTAGTAGGTTTCTATATAGTTCGTTTTCTCTTTCGAAGTTGATATTTCACATATCCAAGGGCGAACAGAAAAATAACAAAAACAAGTCTATGTCAGTCTTTTGAGCATCCATCTCCAGGGTCTTGTCATCGTGTGAAATATTTTGAATTCATCAATAGTAAAAACAAGCCCCGGCGACCAAGTGCTGGTGAACTGTTTATAGAGCCCTGGAGGAACCTGGAAGGCGGTGAAGCTGACCTCAAGCTTGAGCTCAGGCAGCTCTGGCACGCGTCACTAATCAACCCCCATCATCTCATCCTCTCGAACCCTCCTTTCTCAGTTCTTTCCTTTGCTTCTGTTAATCTAGCTATAAAATACTTGAAGATCCGCCGTCATGTCTGGTATGCTCCCTCGTCGATGATGGCATAGCCCAACCTCATGACTTCAACCCCGACTGACCTTGGTTCTCTCCGCAGGAAGCGCCTACGATAGACATATCACTATCTTCTCTGATCAGGGTCGATTGTACCAAGTTGGTATGTATTCACCACTCGTCGATGATTCCGCCTCAATCTGCCCAGCGGCCTCAATCCGTTCGCTGTCATCATGACCGCTGACCAAACATCCCCCAGAATATGCATTCAAGGCCATCACTTCAGCCAACATCACCTCCATCGGTGTGAGGGGCAAGGACTGTGCCGTGGTGCTCTCGCAGAAGAAAGTCGCTGTAAGATGGATTCCTCGTTTAGAGCTGGGGTTTGCGCTCATACTAATATGCTGTCTACCAGGACAAATTGATCGACCCATCCTCCGTTTCACATGTCTTCCGGATCTCGCCCTCCGTAGGCTGTGTGATGACCGGCTCCATAGCAGATGCTCGCGCATCCGTCGACCGGGCCCGTGGTGAGGCTGCTGAGTTCCGGTACAAGTTCGGATATGAGATGCCTTGTGATGTCCTGGCAAAGCGACTGGCAAATATCAACCAGGTCTACACACAAAGGGTAGGGTTTCTCGCCACCGTGCAAACTTCCCACCCAAAGAGACAAAATAGCTGACTTGGTTCTCTTTGAATCTCTCCAGGCTTACATGCGACCACTTGGCGTGGCCACGACTCTGATTTCCGTCGACGATGAAAGCGGCCCGCAGCTCTACAAGTGCGACCCGGCCGGTTACTATGTTGGGTACAAGGCGACAGCATCTGGTCCCAAGCAGCAGGAGGCGTTGAACTACTTGGAGAAGAAGCTGAAGAACAAGGACGCAGCCGCGGGCAGCTGGGAGGAGGTTGTGGAGCTGGGCATCACAGCTCTCAGCAATGTGCTAAGTGTTGACTTCAAGAAGCACGAGATTGAGATTGGTATCGTCGGTGGGCCGCGCACCGATGGCGAAGAGGGAACTACTACAGCGTTCCGTGCCCTGACGGAAGAGGAGATTGATGAACGGCTGCAGGCCATAGCCGAGAAGGATTGAGCGAGCTGGACCTGCAAGCTATGGAGATAAGCGACCAGTAATGGAAGGACAACGGTGTTTATTTTAGAGAAACAGACGATCTGTGAATGATAACTCAATTGTTTCCTGCACGAGTACACTTTTGGCCATGTTTGGGGCTCTCATGCTGCACGTTGGCGCCATACTAGAGCATTGATCCATTCATTGACGCCGATATTATGGATACCTCGAGCATACAACATAGATCCATTTCTTATCGCCGATACTACCTAAGGATACTATAGCGTAACCCCGTCGGGTAGTCCGAGACCATATCCAGCCTGTCCAAAAAACTACTGGAGGAACCGCCACCCGTGGGAAATTTGAAGATGAACAATTCGCTATTATCGGTTTATCACAGCGTCTACCTGCATAAAAGCAAGGAGACAGTGGACGGGCATGCTACTACGAAGAGTCTGTTGTGCGGGGCGCCACATGTGGCTTAGTGGTGGCTGGGGCCTGACAGCCCATAAATTATGCGTCCAATGGTCTTTCTCGGTAGATGATTGGTAGTTATCAATTGAACTAGAGTGACTAGGGGATACTAACGTGGCTAAAATAATTCCCAGACTAAGAATAAGTGTGGCAAATACCAGCTGAACATGTTCACGCCCTAACTGTCAGATCCACTACACGTCAGGTCCGAGTTCAGGTCCGAGTATTCCGTAGATCTCGTCTAATGCAGGTCCAAGGCTGAGGTCTCGACTTTTTTTTTTACCCTTGCTCTATGCCTCTGAATTTCAACAGGGGTCCCACGAGCTCATGATGCATCGCAAGAAAGAAAGAGAAAAAAAATGCAAGAGGAAAAAAAAAATATGCGTTCCCCACCGAGTAGTTCACTCAATACTCTCCAATCAGCATCATGAAACACCATCTCTTTCTTCTTACCAGAAACCCCAAATCGGCCGCACAGGAACCTAATCTCATATGCGGGCCAACTATCTCTCCACTTCCAATCCACAGCTTGGGATACTGTTAATGCAATAGGCCAGGTCTTTTCCCATGCGACATATGGGCCCTCTTTCCTGTCTCTCTCACTCTCTCCACCGATCCCTCTCCTTGGGACAGGGATGGTCCTAGTCATGCCGTAAACGGTTTCTCGGGAGCTTATGGTGTGGCCCGGTCCCATCCCAGCTGTGCTCGACAACCCGAGCTCCCTGATCGTGGGATCTTGCCCGTCTATTGGTGCAGCTCGTTCTCTTGGTGATGATGTATCCTGACGTTGGCTCCGCTGTAGCGGGCTGATAAATCCTTGGTTTCACATTATTATTATTTTGTAACAATTCTGGCCTTTTTCCTTTTCTGGCCCACCCACTGAGTGTTGGCTGTTCATGTATGGGGTAAGGAGAGAGAAGAGAGAAACATACACCTTTACCAATCTTTGAAGACCTATATCTTTCCTCTTTCCCCCCATGAACCGTTGGTGGCCTAACATCCCCGACTCCATGGACCATCAGTTCCTCTAACAATTACCTTTCTTTCATCGCTCATTGGTTATCTTGAATTGATCATTCTGTATACTTGCTTTTTGCCTTCTTCCTACTCGTCCATCGCCTGGTCCATTCCCGTCCTTTTTTTATATACTTAATCTACCAGAAACATGGCAGACGGATGTAAGCTGACCGCGATCATGTCGGCCAATCATCAAAAAATAAACTGCTAATAATCGTGCAGTCAACCAAGCCCGCGCTATGCGAGTCGCCGAGATAATCAACGACTACCGCACTCTCCTGGTCCACATCTCGCAACAGCAAGTCGAGGCATCCCAAGAAGAATACTGGGAAGATGGCTTCGTAGTACTCCGCGAGTCCCTAGCCTCAGCCCAGACCCTAATGTCCGCCAACTACCAACCATGCCCGGTAACAGGGCAAGGGAACGTCGAGACCGAGAAAGCAGAGCTACAAAGGTATATCCAACTTCCCAACCTCCAATCATGGTAATGATACTAATAGTCTATCTATAGAGTCATACTGGATAGTAGCGCACGCCGATTCCAAGCGCACAAGATCTACCTCCGCGCCGCCGCAGCCCGGCGATGGGCCATGACGCGCGCCAGCGTTCTACGCGGCTCCAATCCAACGGCCCAGTTGAAGGCTGCAACTGCCACCCTCCACCAGGATCTGGGTCGCTTCACGGACCAGCATGTCGTGGCGGACTTGCGAGCTGCTGATCTGCGCGCCGGTCACTGGCTTGACGATGATCCGTCCTTGGAGGCGATCCGTCGCTGGGTCGCCGGCCAGTAATCGGGTCTGTAATTGGGATACGAAACTAAAAATGAGAATGGAAACGAGTATGGAAATGGATATGGAAATGAATGCATGTTGGGGTTGAGGTTGGGGGCTTTTTTCGGATTTTGCCTTCTACTGATTCATGGGTGCTTGTGAGCCTTGGGCTTTGTATGATTCTTCTAATAGAGGGGCTTGTGTGGGATGGCAGGTATCGCGCCGGTCGTGAGTACTGCCTTCTACGAAGAGACAAAATGAGTTTGGATTTATTGCGTGGTTTTTGTTATAGCTACGATATCCCCTCTTGTTAATTTTTTTTTTGGGTTGTATTTCTGTTTCAGGTGTTATGTTTGTTCTAAGAATCAATTCTATTGTTTTACACAGCTAAATATACAAAATTGGATCTAATTATGTCTTGTACACTGGGCGATATACATAGTAGGATTTTGCATACTCCACTCCGTACATACTTGGACTCTTGCATAAAATGAATGATAGCCCTAATGGCCCCACAATGATCTAGCACAAATATGTCTCTACTCCGTACAAAGTACACCTAAAGACAGAAAAGGATACATAGAGGCCTAGTTGACCCTGTCGGCAATTGACACATGAACCAGACACCTGGGGCGCCCAGGCAGAGATACCAGCTGAAAGATCCACCGTATACTCAAAGTGAAGGGTCAAGAAAAAAAAAAACGTTGCACAGATCAAAGTGGATCGGAGGATCAACTCGTAGAGATTTCCGACACGGCCTACGAAGCTAATAGCGTTAGTTTGGCTGTGTAGATCCAATCAGCACTACGAACGACCATATCGCGGCTCGAGTTCAGCTATGGATGGACTGGATTTTCAGGCGACGGTTGTTTTTCTTTTTTTTTTTTTTTTCTGTTTCTTTTTTTTTCCTAGTACTTTGTACTTTGTATAGGTGGATCTGTTATTCCCACGTTTTATTTCTCTCCTGTTAAACTTCTAGTGGGCTGTCGGATCACTTCCTATCCATACATTTTATTCTTTCTATCTTCTCGGCCGTTGCGACCCTCAGGAATAGTTCCGTCTTTGATCCGTGTCTGTTTTATCTTGACGATCGGCATCAACCGGCATCAGGTTATTAGTACAAGGTGGGGCATGTTGGATCAAGGTGCTTTGTCGATCGTTGCAAATCA